GACTTGAAATACTCAAGGATTCTATAGTCAAAATATTGAATGCTGCAGGAAGTGTCAAAAGAAGATAGAAGGAATACAAAGAGTCACTGTACCAAAAGGAAATGGGTCACTGTTCAACCATTTCAAGAGTTAGCACATGTTCAAGGACAGATGGTACTGAGGCAGTACGTCTAAGGTGCACAGAAGGCACTGGTGAAAAACAAGGCTCCAGGAAACGACAGAATACAAATTGATATCTTTTAACAAACTGATGCAGCATTGGAAGTACTCACTCATCTACTCCAAGAAATTTGGAAGATGGACAACCGACTTGTAAAGCTTGGTATTTGTGCTCATTGTAAATAGGTGAGCCAATAGAAAGAAGGAAATCAAATATTATCATTGATCAAACAAGTGGCACGCCTAGGAGACCTCAAGGCAAGTGGTCAGGTTCCCTCAGGGCAAACCTCCTTGTAAGACTACGCCCCAATGGAAATACACGCTCTGATTGGTGACCACGTTTGTCACCGATAAGGGGAAGTGAGGGAAAACAGCAATGAAGATGCAAGGTAAGCCCTACAACATTCAATAGACTCCGGTGAACCTGGCTGGAGACCAGGTTGGCCAGCAGTGTGGCAAGACCTGGGGACTCTTAGGCCCAGAGTCAGTGACATAGCCACAGAGGACTAGAGTGGAGAGTGAAGTGTCCAGCTGATAAGAAGAGAGCACATGTGCATAAGAACACCCACACTTGCAGATTAATACCCAGGTGACCTGGCTTCAATGACTGGATGATCACAGCTCAACCAGAAGAAGAAAGAAGAGGAAAAGAGAGTAATCTAATACAATTTGATGAACTTGACCTACATCTATGGATGCAGTAGCTCAAAAGAGGGAACAAATCTTTACATTGAGGATCATTCTCACCCCCTCCATATACAGAGTAGACAGGGATGGGCAACTTGGACATTGGCTACCCAAAATGGGGGGGCTACAAAGACAAGAAAGGAGCTCTGGTAGCGTAGTGGTTACGAATCGGGCTGCTAACCTCAAGGTCAGCAGTTCGAAACTACCAGCAGTTCCGTGGGAGAAAGATGAGGCGTTCTGCTCCCAAAAAGATTTACAGCCTCGGAAACCCTGT